AAAAAAAAAAAAAAAAAAGATTGGCTTTACTTCTCTTTTAAGGCACTTACAGGGTTCCACCCCTCCCTTCAGCGATTCCCAGACTTTCCTGCTCCTTTCTGGAGCCGGGACCACAATAAAATGTTGTCAGGATGAAAAGCATACCCTGATGTGAGCTACAGATTGTGAACCCAGAAGCACTCAGCTTTGAGCACTTCCAGGTTAAGAGCTGTCAAAATCCCAGCTGCAAAGCCGGGTAAACAGTGAATGAAGCACAGTCTGTGCTCGATCAGCTGGAGCAGAAGGCAGGGGAGGCATTAGGGGTCTTAAAGTCCCTGGAAGTCTCCATATAGAGTACCTGTCACCCGCCCAATGATATCACATGGGGGGGGGGGGGCTTGTTAGCCCTCTATGCAATAGCAAAAACGGTAAAGGAGGTGGGGGAAATCACTTAGCCTCATAGTTCGAGCCGACCTGTGACAATGACACTGTCACATGTCGGCTCAATAGATCGGGAGGTGAGCAAACACATACCGTCACTCGCTCCCTCCCTGCAGGGATTCCCCCCTCCCCTGTCCGATCCTCCAGCGCTGACCAGCGGAACGGATGGGGGAGGGGCAGGTACAGCTGGCTCTGCCTCTAGATAGGCAGAGCCAGGTGTCAATCACGCAGCTGGGTGGATCTCGACAGTAATGTCGGGATCCGTCCCGGCTGCGGCGGTCTCAGCAACAGCTTGCGGTATACTGAGCTTTGGGTCACGGGAGAATGCTGGTTTGTGTCCTCCCATGAACGTTAGGAGAACTATGGGGAAAAGCACTAAAAAAAAAGAAAAAAGTTTTATTATATATATGAAAAAGCACCCCTGCAACCCCAAATAACGATTACACAGCACATAGTCTGTATCATCTCCCATGCTGAAAAGGGGGAAACTATTCTAGATCCATCATTTACAGGTGACCCTAAACTGATGGGCTGTAAAGCCATTTAAAGCATTGTCTATTGATCATTTTGGTATCTTCATTTTATGTTGCAAATATTGTGCAACATAAACATTTGAAACCACCTTCTTTTTAGGCTAGGCTCGCACCTAAGCAACACCTCACCGTGCGGTAATCGTGCACAATTACACGCGGCCAGGAGTCGCCTAGGTGTGAACCAATCACGCTGTGGGTGCCAGTATTTTCTAGTGGCACCCTCAGTCGCGCCGGGCGGATTGCACGGCTTCCCTAAAAACAGCTGCGCATCGTGTATCGCAAAAAAAAAAAAAAAAAGGAACTTGTACCTTTTTTCTTCGATTGCCGCGCGTATGTCACCTCATTGAAATCAATCGCTGCCTGCATTGTGCAGGACCGCACGATCCCAGGTCCTGGGTGTCGAGCAGGTGTGAACCTAGACTTATCCCACATGGCCTCTGCTTTCATAAAATGTATAATGTTTTAATGGTCATTTTTGTTGCAGCCCTTGGGGCCCCTGCAGGCATGCAATGTGTCTCAAGTCTATGATTCCTGAAGCTTGTCCCCAGTCCCCAACAACTCCTATAGCATATTTGTAAGTCTCTGACCATCTCTTGTAGCAAGCCCGTCGTTTTTCACCATAACCTGTGTGCAGTCTCTTACAACTTTATGTAGCATTAAGGTGCGCATACACCTTACAATTATCTGCAGATTTTCTGTGGTCAGATGGAAAAAGTGTAGGTGGAAGGTGTATGGCCAGATTTACATATACTGAATATGTGTGGTCCTTTGATGATGGTAGGAGCCACACCTGGGGCCTCCAATATTATGAAAGTTGAGCACCACTGCTGTAGAGAGATGCTTTAACATTGGAGAGTGACTTTCCCATTGAGTTGCAGACATACAGCAACATTTTAGAGAGAGGATTTTAGCAAGCTAGCACGGTTGAGTTTATGCAAAGTAAGGAAAGCCCCTTCCAGACAGAGAGGTACGGAGAACCATGCGCCTTTTCCCATTAATACAGCACACTAGGCATCGTACCCCTGCTGGTAGAATGAGACAGCCGTGTTTAAACTGGATACGAAGGTAATCTGTCTGACATCACGAAAACCTGTAATATATTCAGTGCTTCTCAATATACAGGCTTCCTTAGCAATGTGTTGAGATAAGTAAATTGTTGCCAGCTCTCTAAAGCTTTATCTCTGGAAAGTCATGACACAGACAGGGTACCTGGAATAGCCTCGTGCGCAGTTAAAAGAACACGGATGATGGGATTTACTCCTTGGCTCTTCTCAGCTTCTTTCGACTGTAGTGTCTTTTCTGTTTTCTGGATTCGTGAACGCTTCGGCTGCTTCTCCTTTTCATAATCTGGCAGGATAAACTTCCCATCAAAGTCATTACCTAAGCAAAGCATGTGCAGCAATTAACCCCCAACATTTTAAAAGCAACACTTTAATAAATAGCTCATTAAAAGTTATTCCAATTGTTGTATTAGTGATTTAGCCCTTGCTGAGACCTCTATGCCTGGCCTGTATACGCAGATATCATTACTGCAGACAATCCCTATCAGATAGCTGAACTCACCAAATACCTTTTTCATCAACGAAGCTCTTTATTGAATGCAGCAGGTTACAACAGACAGCAGGATACAGCAGATGATTGAACAGGCGGTATTTGCAGGTCAAAGATAGTAATGTTTCCCCCATGCGAGCAGATTACCATGTGGCCATGAGATGCAGCCATTTTAGATGCCATAATAATTACTTGAACAAGAAAGGGGAAATACATAACACACACAAGGGGAGGGAACACAGTAAAGACGGTGCAATTACCCCAATGACCAGAAGATGGCAGTATCTTATCCAGCTATACGAGTGCCAATGAACAATGGCTTAAAGTGACATTAAACCCTCAGATTTTTTAACATAAAACAATACTGTAATGTGTGCCTTACTGTAATCCATGGTTGTGTCCATTATCTTTGCTGCTCTTCCTTTTAAATCTGTATTTGTTCTCATGCTGGGCAGAACTTCTGTTTTGCAGCAGACTGCCTTGTCTCTGAAATGGATACATGGTGTCTGTGTGTAGGGTCACAACCTGAGCTAGCACTACAGGAAGAGGCACTCAGCTGCAAAGGGAAGTTCTCCCCAAGCATGAGAAGACATGAGGATTTAGAAGAAAGAACAGCAAAGAGAAGGGAAACAACCATGGATTACAGTAAGGCGCACATTACAGTATTGGTTTATGTTAAAAAATCTGAGGGTTTAATGTCACTTTAAGGAAAATTAACTATGTAATTCTCACTCCACATTAATATAAATATCATCCATGTCTATGCGTTGTGTCATGTTTTATACAATAACTAACAGCACAAAGTAAAATGAAAAAGCATTTTTTTCTGTAATACTCGCCTTCTATCTGTAATCCCTTTCCACAACTAGATGTCACCAGGCTTCCAAGTTGAATGACGGCCAGTGTCATTCAACCCATTTTCTCAGAGCGCACACAGTCAAGGATATGTATAGGTCTGCTTACTATCCTAAAATGGAGATTCAACTGCTTGTTGTTATGGTTTCTGATGGATGCAAGACATTTAGATGCCTTCCGCTTTAGGGAGGCATTGCTGAGCTTCGCACTTAAACGGTCTTGCTATACGCTCTCAGCATTACAATACGGAACTGCTCCACAGCGGTCACATGCTATACAAGTAAATCTAAGCCTGGATTGTTATCTGAATTTCAATGTGATGCTGTTCATTTCACTTCAAAGCTTTAGGACTCTTTTCTCAGGTCAGATATCCGTAAGGTCATTAAAGCAATTATGCAAAAAGTGCAGCAATGTTTAAAACAATTATATTAGTAAAAACAACATCGTTGGACTCACAACACCAGCAATAAAAGAGCTTATATGGTAGACGCCTTTATCGGGAAGTGTTTGGCCGGCCAGCAATCCCGATCCCATGATGTTCACATGGTAGCGTCACCACTCACTCCGCAGTCTTCCCAACATGCCTCCGCCACTGGCACCTTTACAAAAGTGCAGATTCCCCTTCAAAGTGGTGGCTTAAGGTGACTACAAGGCTTTACAGTAGACAGCAGTCCTAAGTGTTACTGTCAGGAACAGAGGCTGCCAGGCCTTGAACCGGAGTCTCCCACGCACTGTACCATGACTTATCAGGTTTGTCACCTTGGACTTTGCTTCTGGACTTGAATCTGCTATAGTCCTGCATGCTGAGCTTCTCAACAAGCTTCACCTGATCCTGATCTTGTGGCCAGGGTACTTAGCTTTCTATTTAAAAGTCCACCGTTTCCTGTTTCTTCGCCAGATTATTGGGCTCCACACCTAATCCAGTCTGCTGCCTTGTGCTACCTCATTTACTACTAGGAATCGGAATCGGCTTTGGCTCGTGACCCGACTACGAACTCTTCTCCTGTGACGACCCCGGCTTGTGACCCTGACTAGGAAACTCTTCTCCTGCATTGACCTTGGTGGAGTTAACAATTCATCAGAAGCCATGAATGACCATTTTCAATTTCAGATTTCCAAAATAAAACTTTTACTATTTGTTTTTTTATTTTTTGCGGCTTGTGTTGGTAAATGCAGCGACTGGTTTTAGGCTGCAATTTTTACACAGTTTAGTTAGGTTTTCCAGTGCTGACTAAATCTGTGACATCAGGTTCTGAATTCTCCCAGGTTATTTTAGATTGCAAGGATTAGAGGAAACTTATGTAAGATGGCAGCAGCTGACAGAAAGGTAGTGGTGATGGTGATGATAATGGTGGTGGTGGTGGTGATGATGATAATGGTGGTGGTGATGATGATGATGATGATAATGGTGGTGGTAGAAGTGATGATGATAATGGTGGTGGTGGTGTGGGGCTTAGGTTAAAGCATCAGGGAAAAAGCCAGGTGTAATTCCTGTCCCAGTATTGCAAACATGGTATTGCAAACATGGTGTTGCACAGCAGGGTGTAGGGCAGGGGTAGCCAAACTCCGGCCCTCCAGCTGTGGTGAAACTACAAATCCCATGATGCATCTCTCTCCGGGAGTCATGTCTGTGGCTGTGAAAATCTTGCAATGCCTCATGAGATTTGTAGTTCCCCCACAGCTGGAGGGCCGGAGTCTGGCTACCCCTGGTGTAGGGTATATACAGTACACCAGAAAGCCCTACAGTACCACTCCATCCTACACACAAGGCAGTTATTAATACATCATCATTCAGCTATAGCTACATTCATGACTGATTCTCTTCCCCACTTTTCTGCAACGCCTGCTAGTTGGGTTTTTATTACCTCCTAAATTAAACTTCAGGTATAGATGTTCTTTATTTGATAAACGCTGCCAAATATTGACACAAATATATTGGAGTTCTGACAATAAGGCGTCTAGCTACAGAGATATTAACAGTTCACACCGACATAACCTCAGCAGATGGTAAAAGTACAAAGCGGTGATGAAATGAGAATCCGGTGGTTTTATTAACATGTTTTGCATTCACTTTGTCTCACCTTGAGTGACATCCTCGTCGTCATTGCACACAATGATGCAGATGTGTTTTTTCAGTTGTCGGACGTTGGAGAAGGTGCGGCTGCATTTTCGACACTCCAGGTTCTCTGGTATCGGCTCGGAAGAGAGCCAGCCATCCTCGGTTTCCGCTTGGCCATCATGGGCAAAGTTTCCATTGTTCTCTGTGGGCTCTTCTTCGGTTATAGACTTCTTGGTGGAGCCTTTCGGTCGCCCCCTCTTTCTTTTCACAACACACAAATCTATAGGTGATACAAACATAATCTTCACTTACTGCATTAAGGAATAACATGAAGTCCCGGACCTTCATCAGACTCATATGACAAAGGACGTAAAGCACAAGAACACCACAAAAGTGGCATTAAAACATTGTCTTTGGATGTAAGGGCCCAGTCACACCATATCCAGTGCATCCCGGTGCAGTTTGTGCCCGGAACACATTGGATCGCATACATGAAGCTGGACCACGTTCTGGGCACTGCAGACACCCCCTCCGGCAGTGCAAATCGACCGCACCGGAACACAAAGTACAGGACTGCCCTCTGTTTCAGTGCAATCTGAAGAAATAGTGCATGCAGCTAGTCCGAGTAGGGACGGACAGAGGAGGAGGAACAAGGAGGGGGGAGGAACAGAGCGGACAGAGGAGGAGGAACAGAGCGGACAAAGCGGGCAGAGGAGGAGGAATGGGGCAGCAGTGAAGGTACGAGGGGGGGGGCAGCGGGGGAATGCAGAGTCACCACAGTCTCTTCTCCCCGCTGGTGCCGGCTGCAGTGCTCTGTGTCCCCGCCGCCTCTGCCGATACAGGCGGGGAGAGCAGCGGGGATTGAAAGGGGCACAGACGGCAGCAGCCAGCACCAGCAAGGAGGAGCAGAGTTGACTGCGGGGGATACAACTAATCGAAAATCAACTAATTGTTATTGAGAATCATTGACGATTCTCATTATCGATAATAATCGATTTTTATTGATTAGTTATTTCAGCCCTACTCTAAATTACTATTGTTGAATTGAATGGAAGCAAATATAATCTTCATATACCTGGCAGCTGTGACTCTTAGTATATCTAACCCCAAGATCAAAAATGTAATATATCTTCTGTATTCTGTGTATCCTGCCATGTCCCCATACAGCCCTGCCCCATTGATTGACAGGCCTCCCAGCTCTGCAGCTGCATCAAGCCAGTACAGTTGTGGAGTTGCATTCATGTTAATGCCGATCTAAAATGACTTCAGGCAATGTTACAATAGCAAATTAAATGTGTACGTACAGAAAACACGCCATCATTGCATACTGCACACACCATCATTGCATACTGCACACACCATCATTGCATACTCCATACAGCCCTGCCCCATTGATTGACAGGCCTCCCAGCTCTGCAGCTGCATCAAGCCAGTACAGTTGTGGAGTTGCATTCATGTTAATGCCGATCTAAAATGACTTCAGGCAATGTTACAATAGCAAATTAAATGTGTACGTACAGAAAACACGCCATCATTGCATACTGCACACACCATCATTGCATACTGCACACACCATCATTGCATACTGCACACACCATCATTGCATACTGCACACCTGCTGTAAGATAGAATTACAGCGAGGGATATTTTATAAACACAGCTAAACTTCTGTTGGCAGCGAACACTGAGCAATAGGCTGTGCAGCAAAGCGACAAATGGTAATTATCTCATTTTCTTTACAAGGGTGGGAGGTTTTACATATAGACTCGTGAATATGATTACCGTAACCGTTGTTCCACTTCCAGCAAATCTGATCAGTGAGTGTTAACGTTTAAACGTTAACGTTAACGTTTAAAAAAAAAAAAAAGTGTTTGTAGTTTCCCGCTATTACATATGTATGGAGAAGTGCTTACTCAAAGCCCATCTTCGGGGGGGGGGAATTAAAAATAAAATACTACCCTTGCAGTGGGGTTACCCCTCTCATATGGATACAGCCACTAAGGCAGGGGTGGGCAACTCTGGCTCTCTAGCTTCTGTGGAACTACAGGTGCCATGGGGCATTGCAAGATTGACAGTTCCAGGCATGACTCCCAGAAGCAGAGGCCTGTTAGGGTTTATGGTCGGAGTTGCACTAGAGGAAGACTGTACACATCTGCATATAAAACTAGGATAGGGTAAAGGACATCTTCGGTCAAATACTAAAAATAAATCTGTATTTCTATATTTAATTGCCATAAGTTCTATCCCGCTCCTCATAACCAGATCCATGTAGAAGTTTGTAAACTTGCATATTGAAGATCCCCATAGGATCTACTTCCTCAATGCACTGACACCATTTCACTCAGCCCTGTGAATATGCACTTACTTGTGTCACCACTTTATATATGCCTGCTGTCTGAACTACAACTTCACATCTATCCAATGCGGGAGTGCATGCGATCCAGCATTGCATGTTGCAATGTTAAGTGCACTGCAGTACCATTATTTCTTAAAGTGACATTAAAGGCAATTTTTTTTCACCCCAACGTTAATGAAAGCACTTACCTTAAATTATGTCTTTTAATCCGATCTTCTTCTTCTTTCCTGTAGTTTTCAGACTTCTCTCCAGCGTTGACTCCTCTGAGCTTGCTGGCACTTCCTGTCCCATGGTGTCTGCATGCGGGTACACGCGTCCATAGACTTACCTTGTGTCTTTCCTCGCGTCCCAGCCAAAAATGTGAACTGCGCATGCGCCCGCCCCAAGATGCTTTGCGGCAGCCCGTGCAGTTTCATATTTTCGGACGGGAGAGCGCATGGAACACACAGGTAAGTTTAAACCCCTGTTAAAGCATTTTGTTTTTTAAACTTTTTGCATACATCTCCGGCTTGCTAGCAGTAGATATATGCAAAAAAAAGCTGAGGGTTTAGAAACCCTTTAATGGCACCTAAACACACCTAGCTATCACATGTGCGTGATATCACACCATATCACATGGTAAACGTTTACCATGTGATGTAATGCAATTTTAAAAAAAAAAGGTGCTTGCACGTCTTTTAGTGCGATTTAGCAGCAGCAGGCAGCTAACGAGGGTTTAAAGTCTGAAGCAAACGAGGGGCTAACATCTGAACAATGTAACATTATCATTGCTTGCTGGAAGCAATGCATGATGGAAATGTAGTCTTCTGAAATGGAGATTGCATCACATCAAGCAGCAGGGAAAGAGATGCAAAGCACACTGGGAATTCAGGAAGTGATGGGCAGACGGAAGGCGGCGCTCACTACATAAAAGGGATTTTTTTCCCAAGTAAGCTTTGATTGCATCATCAACAGCAACTCTACTATGTATTCCTATTACGATGCTGATGTCATAACAGGAGAGGATATGGTGTGACTTCTTATGCATGCAAAAATGTGAAATCAGGATTTGATTTTTAATAGCAGGTGAAATAATCCGATATCTCAGACTGCGTGCTCAATGCAAACACATTATAGATTCGCCATCATCTGTTTTGTTTCTCCCACATACGGTAGTCAGGAGTGAAGAGTAAGATCCATTAGAGATTGCAAAGATTCTGCAAGACACACGAGGCTCCAATCTTGCGTCCTATCTCTCACACACAATTGCAGTCCCCCTGACCGATAACATTGCTGTCACTGATGGAGGCGAGGGTTAATAACGACAGAGAGTGCTAGTCTTTATTAACGTTCACCTGCAGAAAAAGATTAATGTATACCAAGCCATGATCCATGTAGCCTATTTATTACTGTCTGCACCACCGCTGGCTACGGGGGATTTCAACCGTCTGTACCATTTGGCTTTCTATAGAGATCAGACAACGGGCTGAAAAATGCGAACGGATCTAGTGAACCTGAGAAATTTAAAGGGGAACTGTGGTTTGGGCCAATTTGAACAAAAGCCGAGCTCCAGGCATATAATAACGCGCTTCTGTATTCATTACATTCTTAAAGGAGGATTATGGGATAAGTGACACACACTCATCCTAATAGTTAGAGGCGACGTGTGGCACTGCAGCTGCCGGTTCTATAGATTGAGAACTGAGCAATCGCATACCGCTGCTCGCTCAGTTCACGGTCTTCTCCATGCAGAGAGAGGTGACGGTCAGTGACCGCTCCCTGCAGGGAATCCCCCCTCCCCTCTCAGTTCTTCCAGTGCTGATTGGAGGGACGGACAGTGGAGGGGGTGGGCACATCTGGCTCTGGTTTTACAAAAGCAGAGCCCGCTTTCAATCAGGCAACAGGGTGGATCCCAACAATATTGTCGGGATCTGTCCCGGCTGGAGTGCGGCTCTGCGCAGTCAGCATATAGCGGGCAGTTGCCCGCTATATGCTGAGTTTTTTAGTAAATGTCCTCCTGTGACCATAAAGAGAACAAGGCAAAAAAAAGGTCTGGCCATAGTTCTCTTTTTAATGTAAACAATGCAATGTAAGTAGCTGAATTTGTGTAGTTCCTGTACAGCAGAGCTTAGCTTGGAAAAGGGGGAAGCAGCACAGGCAGCCAAATGGTTGTGCTGCTGTTCAAGAAGCATTTTGATAGGAAGATGGCTCACTGTGATATAGCAATGAGCCATCACTACAACGGTAGCTGCCTACTATAATTTAGGTCAAAAACTAAAAATAAATCTGTATTTCTATATTGAATTTCCATGTTCTCTCCCGCTCCTCATAACCAGATCCATCTAGAAGGTTGTAAACGTACTTTTTGAAGATACCCATAGGATGGACTTCCTCAATGCACCTACACCATTTCACTCCAGTCCTCTGAACTACAATGCAGCGCCAGAACAAAAAATGTTGCATTATCATTGCTTGCTGGAAGCAATGCGTGATGGGCTGAGTGATATAGAGATGTGCTTACTACTACAAAAGCAGCCGCCTTCTATAACAACTGGGAGTCTGTTTACCTGCCAGCGCTGCCGTTGACGTACTAGTTACATTAGCAACAGAGAAAGGGTTAAATGGATGGTGCCGTTTATCAATGGTCCCTTTAAGAAAGCAACCATCACTGGTATTACATTAGCACGGATCCATATTTGCCTCATAAAAAAGAAAATACATTAAATTGTCCTAACCATACTAAAGAAAGGACACGTACAACACCAACATACATTCCTTTTAAAAGGCATGGGCGTCTTCAGCGAGAACATACAGTATGTTACTGTAAAGGTTATCTGGAAGCAATTTCCGACGAGACACATTTACACCCATGGTAAGTGAACAGACAGAGTGTGGGGTGCGATTACACCCTGTCATGAGTTCTTTAATGTGTTATAATACAATTG